CTTCTTCTATATAGACATACATTATGTTTCTTAAGGTTCTTGATTTTTCTTCTTCACCGCTTTTTTCATTTAATAATTTGGATACAATCTTGATAATATTTGTACAAAAACTTTATGAATAACAATAATCAATACATTTACATGATATCTATTTGGTAATAATTTCAATATAGAAATCAAATTATAAGAATAGTCATATTCAGGCAACAGTCCAAATTTGGCACCTACATCTTAATATGAAAAATTCGTTTATATTATAAAATTTACATTGTAAAAATTAATTCAAATGTACGATTGAAATTGGTAAATGCTGGTACCACCTTAAAACAGAATTATATGTGTCGCACTGTAATTGACATTTTATAAATATGCAAATTTAAATATCTACCTTTGGAGACTGTAACAAAAAAATCCATTACCATAATCCATTTTAATCCTGTCGCCCTCTTTTCTCCTCTTCTTTATTTACTTTTTATACAAGACGAGGCGTTTTAAACTTAAAACGATCATTTCACGCTTCCCTGGTACATATATTAAACTGCAAAACTAATATTAGAAGTCTATACACTTCTAATAAGTTACCTCAATTTGACCAAACTATTTTAGATAATATATGTATTAAGAATCACATTGAAATGCAAGAAGAAAACATTTAACGTATACATTTTGATAAGATTCAAAGAAAAAATCAAAACAAATAATGCATCAATTTCACAGCTAAATTTATAAATACATTTTTTTTTTATTAAAAAAGTGAAATTTCGGATAAATTTGCAGAAAAAAAATCGCCACAACTTGCGAAAATCATAACAAATAGATATAGTTCAATTGCCCATCTAGATGAATTGTTAGTTGACAAACCTATTTAGAATGATGGAAAAATAGAAGATGAATGTGCCTCTTCTGATCTACTGGAAGAAAATCTATAAGTTTCGTTTCAACCACCGAATTGGAAAATCATTTTCTTACACATGCTGGAAAAAGCTACTCAGTTTAATCGTGAATTGACATCATGCATAGTCCATTGCAACTTTTTCTTTATTAATTATACTTTTTTTTCTATGTCAATAATCTTATTCTTCATATAGACTGTATATATTTTTACTCGGATTCTTCAGGAACAAATTTACGTACATATAAATTTAAGTTAAAATTTCGTATATATTTATTCTAATTTCAAGACTATTGCATTTATTATTGCATTTATTATTATATTTATTTTTCTATACAATTGTATAGTACTTACTAAGGTTAAAATACGAATTTATCTAATTTTCAACAACGGATTATAACACCTCACTCAATAACTTCGTATGATGACCAATAAAACTTTTGAGCAATATTCGACTTTATTCATGAACATAGTCTCCTTCAAGAGTGACACATTCATACCAACGCTTCTCTAACATTTCGATACCTTTCTTGTAGAACGATATTTTGCCTCAAAATACGTCTTTCACCCTTTGCTGTCCACTCAGCTGACAACCAATTTAACTCTTGAATGTAATGATGGATTCAGGTTTCAAACATTGTTACATACCGCATGAAATCCTTTTTATTTCGCTTGAACAGCTCCAAACAGCGCTTGGAATCATCAACTTGTTGTTGTTTTTGGTCCACTTTCAGCTTGAACGCGGTACCCATTTCAAACAACGCTATCTCATGATCAAATGTTCATGCAAAATGGTGAATACATTACCTTCTGATATTTTCAGGGTGTCAACTATCTCACGCAACATCAATTTACGATCAGCCAAAACCATTTTGTAGACGTTTTTATGTTTTTTGCAACAATTGCCGAATTTGGGCGATAAACGCTTTCGTCATCATTTGTGCGTGTACGACCGTGTTTAAAATCAGCAAACCACGTCTCGATGATGGTTCTTTTATTTGTTTTATATTGTAATTCTTTTTTTTATATATTCTTTTGTTATCTACTAATATAAAAATTATGATAAAACTATATAAATTCAACAATTTATTAAATAATTATAAAGTAGCAATCACAGTTTTGTACAAATGACCCAATTCGCGGAAATAATTCGATATCTATAATATTTTATATATATAAAATATATATTTAAAATAAAATGAAACCAAATGAATCATTTTATCCAATTATTTTGAACATTTTCCAGTGGAATATGAAACAATTGCATTTGTGCAATTAATTAATACGCATATCCTTTACGCGAATTAAAATGATTCGATAATTGAGCAATTAATTTGCCGTTATCCAGATAGAAATAAAAATAAAACCAATTTACGTTTCTGTATATTTTCAAATGGGAAATTTCCATGTTTCGTGGTTTTTTTTTTTTGTTTTTTTCTTTTTCATCATAACGAACTCAGTTGGTAATTAGTTACGTAATAACTGTAGATGGAGCAAAGCCATTCAACGTACTTTTCCTGGCGCAAATCAAAAGTTAGTCGGTAAAATCTTCTTTTTTATTTTCGCAGTTAAACCTATTTAAAGCGCATATATAAAACGCATCCACGTAAACGGAATGTTTAATGTCCAACCAATGTGACTTGTCAACAGAACGTCTGTAAGTGACGTTATGGGATAAGTTTAAAGTTTCAAATAATAAAACGAACTCGAATGTTTGTAATGGAGTGGAACCTCGTTTGTCGTTTTTAAGTGCTGTGCAAAAACCGAAATTGCACGTTTTTCATTTTCCGTACAGCCCCTATTTTCAGAATAAACATTTTTTTTCTATTATTTTTTGTAAGAAAAAAAATAGCAATAAACTGAAATTAAATATTAAACATATCAAATTAAATATATTACATCTATATTACTACCTCACATAGTTCAGCTTCAATCAGTCCGGATTCATTGATTTTTAATTGAGGAAAATAATCTATATAGAAATTGTTCACAAAATTCTGTTCTATACATAAAGAATATCGTGTTTTTTTGTCCTTTATACAGTCAAGTCTCTTTTTGTGCTGTTTAATTTAATTCCTCGATAAGTTCAGTTTTGAATAGTCTGGGATATTTTGCGGAACCGGACTATGTGAAACAATCATATTGATATAAAATAATAAATATGTATTATATACATACTTTCAATAATAAAATATTGAAATCCTGGCGCATCCACCAAATTGTTAAACATAAATTGAAATTAAACAAAACTAAATGTGATCATAAATAATATTAAATTATATTTTTAAGTTATTGGTGTTCAGTCACTAAATTTAGATAAGATTTAAATCATGACCATATGAAACTGTGCTTATTTAATTGTATATAATTAGGCACATGTTATTTAAAGTTTAATTATTATAAGTAATCTTTTTGTTATTTGTATTGTATTTAAAAATTTGCATAGATTCCTGTCTATGTGTGCAAATGTGGAACATTCAAAAGAAGATGGACGTAAAAATACATCAAAATTTGTATTTTAGAATATCTATTCATCAATAATATATTAAATATATTTATTTTTCAATATACTTAATTAAGTTAAAAAGACGTATTTAAGTACTTTCAGATGTTTTCTTTATAAACATGTTAAGTGTTATATGAATACTACCCATTTTTCTTTTCTTTATAAAATTATGTGTTTTTCTCAATCGCGAATATTTTTTGCATTATCAACTATATCGACTATAAATTATTTTTAGAATTGTGCATGTAGATTATTAAAAAAACGATAAAAATAAATGTCAATACTATGAAGATATAATCTTATGTTAATTAATTAACATGCGAATATACTTATTAAAAAATTATGTAACAATATAAATAACGTAATATTTATTTTAACAATTATATAATTACATATTAATTGTAGTTAAAAACGTAAGAAATGAAAACGAAATTTATTGATTTTTATATTTAAATAATATACTATTATTGAATATTATTAAAATTATAATTAGCTTTAACATTATTCGAGCCTGGTGCATCCACCAAATTATTATACAGACTGAAATTGGCAAAGGTTCCATTAAAGTATACCCTTAAATATAACAAATTGTCTGTGACGCCGTATTTGTTTGCCTTCTCCCTATGTTTTAACAAACTGCTTTGAGATCTCCACAAAACACGCAGCATTAAAACCAAATTTACCACGAAATCATACAAATCTCGCGTAACGCCAAATCCTACAATACATGAGAGTTGTATTTAACTTGCGTGCCAATCAACGTTTTAAACAAACGCTCTGCTAAAATAGCAATAATTCTCATTATCCATCAGGCACAACAATGACAAGAAGATGTATCAATTATCAATAAATATAGGAAAATTTAAATAATGTCCAATTCAATTAACAAACATTTACCTGTCTACAGTATAATATGATATACATCACGGTTTCGCGTTAAACAAAAAAATTCAAAACACGTCCACCTACAACACGTTTTCGCCTAACTCTATCATATATTTGCGGAAATTTCCATATACCCACTGTATTTCTACTATTTAGCATATGTATAAGAATCTAAATTACACATAATACGTACTTATGTATACATTAGTACAAATACTTTTTAATACGTTTTGTACTTGCTCCTGTTCTCATATAACACGGTTTTACAAATTTTCTAGTAACATATCTATCGTCTTATAGAAGAATAATGTAATCTACTTATACTTAGGAAATAATTAATCTAAAATAAATATTGGAAATTTAAAATTTTTGTACGCACGCAATCATTGTCATAAAAAATATATCAAATATGTAGTTTATAAGAAGATCAAAGCAACAATACATATGTATTTATTTGTAGTTTGAATATATTTTATATAATTGCTTTTGTGCTCCTTATATTAATCTTTTTCTTTAACATACATTATATAATTGTATTGAAATATGATTATGTCTATAATATAACCAAACATAACTTCTAACGTAAATTAGTAAATACAATAGAAATTACTTCCTAATTTACACTTTTAAAAGTTAGGTTTATTTTCCATGTCGATATTTGCTGGTAGTAATATCAACCTTTTCTAATTTACAATAAACTGAGTATATATAACTTACCTGAATATAAAGGACAATCTTGCATAGAGCGATGCCGAAAAACCAGGTCAAGGTAACGTCCCAAACGACGGTCGGAGCCAGGCAAAACAGGATGACAAGAAAATCTGCGATGGCCAAATTAACGATAAAGTAGTTGGTGACAGTCCTCATAGAATGATTCCTGTAAACAGCGATGCACACCAGCATATTGCCAACGATTCCCACAGTAAATACCAGACAGTGGATGACAATTAAGACCCAGGTCCATGTCTTCGGGAATATAAAGTTGCGGATCTGATTCAAATAATCCTCTTCAGTTGTCCAATTAGCTGTGTAATTGCTGTCAGCATAGTACACCAGATCAGTATCATTTCCCAATCGTTGATCACTCTTGACAGTACCAGCAACCGTTCCATTATTATCCAAACCCCAATCCTCCTCCTTGTCGAGATACTTCAGGATCAGGTCATTCGAATCCGTCGCATTCGAGTCCCAATTTTCCGTCGCGCCAAGCCGAACATCAAGCATCGCCACGAAAACCGCTGCTCGAACAAAATCCATCAACATCCTCATCATAGCTTGTTATTAGTTCCTGGCTCCGATGCCATCAAAAATCCTCCGCATCTTCTCCGTTTGCGCTGAAAAACACAAACAAACAACGCAATTTGTACAGAACAGTATTTTCAAAGTGCGCTTATCTAACGCCTTGAAGCGATTTTATGCTATGCACATTGTGCAAATCTACTGTTTCTAAATTATCCAAAGGAATTCCGTATTCACAACAGAGCCTCATCCTCTCCAAAACTTTACTTCCGGAAAATGCCAGCAAATTTCTAATTAATGTCACTTCGAACTTTGCACATTAAATCTTCCGCTAAACAATTAAATCGCATGTGTCGTGACTTTCCTCTCTCTTACTAATATTTTAACGCTAATCAAGAAACATGATTAATTAAAAATTACTTCATTACGCAACAATCTGACTTACTCACTGATAACGAACATAATTGCCTTAGCTTAGTCAACATTAACTTAATAACAAAACAAAGACCACCAAAGATGACGAATATTCATCTTCTAAGAAACTCAGTCAAATATAATGTTAATAATTAATTTATATAAATATATAATTGATTAGATTAAGGGAAAAAATAGAGATATTATCATTTAAGCATGTTTATTTTATAAAAATGTAAAATAAATATCATCATCATCACTACTATCGTTTGTTTGTGATTGTTTGTCTTAGTCTGATTCCATTGCTAATTTTCATAAAATCTGTGCACCTGGTTAATATTCTAAATCAAAAACTTTTTTTTCTGTACATCGATAATTAATTTTAATTAAATTTTAAACACTAAAACTTACCCTTTTTCAAAATGGGAATATTATAAAACCATTACTCGCGTAAAATGTCGTGATGTAAATTTACAAATCGTCAGTCAGTATGAAGAAGGTACATAGGTCGAGGTTGCCCACCTTTCCAGGTTTAAAAGTTATGGTTGGTATATACCCACTTTCGTCTCACAGACACCCCACGAGTAACAAACGAACATTTATGTGCCTGTTATACTTTTTATTATGCAATATAATTTAATTAATTCGGAAAACTTAACAAAAAAACGCAGGAATTTATTACACAATCTATTAATTTGTGTTGATCTTCGAAATCCAAAAATAGAATCTCAATTTCATCAGGATACAATTACTATAATTGAGTTTGATACAATTAATGAAGGTATTACTTTTTTCGCTTTATATGCGCTTAGCTTCCAGAAAGCAGACAATAAGAATCCGCAATTCTTTGATACCATTCTAAATAAATTGAATAAACTTATCAAAGAAAAGCGATTTTCCCTCGTTGCTGCTTCTCACTTCTCTTCTTTTTATTTTCCTCTTCCTTTCTCTCATTCCATATATATTTACCTCTCTTTCGAGACTTATTTGAAATCCTGTTTATTCGTGTATCGTGAAATTACAATGGTCATAATGGAAAACGAAACCGGAATATAAACGAGTCGTGGAAAAGTTAAGATAATTATCTATTTGCCAGAGATTCGCGAAAAAGTTTCCCCAAAGGGCGGAGATTAAAAAAACAAAAATTAAATGAGAACGAGCGGAATAGAAGGAAGAAAATCTGAAATGAAATTGCGACTCCTGCAGTGCAACACATACAAATAACATCCACGAACGAATAAATAATTTAATTTCAGTTGAACAGTGCTGAGCAGTTTAGTCATAAGGAAAACCCGGGAATACATTTAAATAATTCGTTAATATGCTGGAAACCTCGTCTAGAAGACAAATTTTGTTGATGAAGATGAGGCGTCGAAATGATCGTAAAATGAGTTTATGATGGACGAGAATCGTTAACCGAAAAATACTGTCAATTGAAACGACATGGTAATCTAATTGTGTATTTTTTATTCTTTTGTGTGATGGAAATTGAATTCGCTTCGGAAACGGCTAACTTTATCAACGTTGACATTTAAGCTATGTAATGCTACCGATTTATGAGTTCCGTTTCCAGATATAAACTAATCTCAGACCCACATCAACTTCTGACTGAGATCGTTATTTTCCCTAAAATAGTACAATTTAGGCTTCCATTATCGATAAACGGTTAACCCTTTGTGTACCAGTGTTTTCACCATGGGACCATATAAAAACTAATTATTTACAATCTTTTTATTTCCCTGTGATTCCGCAGTGGAACCACATGTTTTTCAAATACTAAACAAAAATAGAAAATTTTTATCATGCATTCATTAGTAAGTAATCTAATTTATCCAAAAAATTGACAGTTTTGACAAAATTAAGTTGGGTTAACTGATTTTTTCGTCAAATTATCGGTAAATTCGTTTCTAGATAAAAAATAATCTGAGTCGTTATTTTCCTTAAAACAGTACAACTTTATTTTCAAAACGAAAAAAAGTAAATTACATTGATAAGACCCATAAAAGACATTCAAACTCTCTATTTCAAATATTAATCCAATTGATAAATAATTAATATTGGTTCATGTTTACTCTATGAGAACATAATGTGTACCGTGTTCCGTGAAAACTTGGGATGAAATAAATAAATAATGTTTTTTCATTTTTATTTTATTGATTGTGTGTTTCCTGAAAAATTCTGGATTTACAAAGTGTTCCGTTGCAAAAGTTTGGGAAACCCTGATGTACGTAATCGAACAGCACAGTAATGGTTCAAGATATTTTCTACGGGAAATTTCAGCTTGACCAACGAGGCACGATCTGGGAAACCGAAGATCATTAACAGCGAAGATCATTAACAAATTCCAACCCAACGTGCTTAGAGCTTGTAGAAATGTTCGATGTGAGTGATGAAACACCATTCGTTTGCACCTTCATCAGTTAAGGAAATAATAAATTCACCAGATCGAGACTATTTTTTTTAATATTTTATAATCAAAAACCGCACGAACTTTTTTAGTTACCTAATAATACCTAATCTTTTTAACAATGTAATAAAAATAAGAATAATGATTGCAATTTTATTAACGGTGAAATTTAAAGTACAATTATGTAATGCGACTAATTCATAGGCTTCATGAGTTTCGTTTCCGGATATATACTAATCTCAAATCTACATCTACCATTTATTTTCCCTAAAATATTACAGTCTTCTATATCCAAACGTATAGAAAAATAAATCTACGTAATTTAGAAATAAATTATGTCTTATAATATATAATTATTGCTATATATAACCCGATAGAATCATAATATTTTAAGAACGAAATATTTTACATCGTTTTAGTTTTATTAACTATTAGTAATTGTATCACCAAGATAAACCGAAGGTATATATACTCCAATTCGCACATTCTTAAGACATAATTCATATCCTTTAAACTTTTTGAAGTGGATGAATATATTATAACAATGCTATTTCTTATTTTTTTGTAAAACTGTGTTGTAGATTTACTACAACACAGTTCAGAACAACTGGTATAAACCGAGCAACAGTCGTAACTCATCAAAAGATACAAACATAAATCTTTTTCAATGTCATGACATTCTCTGGATTTCCCGAAATGCAATTGAATATTTCATGAGATTCAATTACGCCCGTCTCATAATAGAGTTCCAATTAGACATGGAACAGAGAATTGCATTTGCTTTTTGTCTTCTTGCAGTGAATGCGTCAGAATCAGACTCGAATGTATTTGCAATTAATGCGGGTCCGTTGAAAACTGGCAAATTTTTACCTGCGCATATCAATGGCGACAGTTTTTTTTTACTTTTGTTCAGTTCATTCCATTTCCACTTCCTCGGCTTCAACGTCCCTACGAATATAAATTTCTATTAACATATGCCTCACTCATATTACGTTTACCGGTTGTTCATTTTTTGTATTTATTTCTTCATTATTTGTCGTTATTCAGTCCGTATTAATTAGAAAACTTATTTTTTTAATTACGTCACTAATGGATTTCGAAAATTAATCTTCGGCATAATCGAAATTACAACGTACTTCCTTTGAAATTCGCATTTTTTTTTAAGATAAATAATTAGACTCTCTTTTGGATTAACAATTGTTTTTAACAGTCCATAAATACTATTGCCTGCATCTTCGGACAGAAGTATATATTTAATATTTATAGCTAACTCATTGTACAATTAAATATCGCTTTTATTCATATTACTTTCAAAGTGTTCACGATAAATATTTAATTTGTAAATTGGCTCAATGCTTTATACTGCATCAATTAAGTGAGTGAGCAATAGCATGCAAACGACCTGTTTCCTTTTATTGAATTATTATTGATTATTAATCAATGGTTAGTAAATTTAGTTTATAAATAACTAATATTCGTCATAGAAATGTAAATATCATTATTCTAGTTATAATTAACAAAATTAATTTTAATAACAAACTATAATTAACACTATTTATAAAAAATATGCTCACTCATAAGTGGGTAATTTGAAAAGTTTTAAAAGCGTAATAAAACGAAATTTTCTCCGTTTTTTTATCTAATTGACAGGAGACGTGTGTGCATTTTTCTAGAATGAAAAAACACGTGTATCGCTCTGTTATAAAATACTTTGAATTGGAATCTGCTCCTACATTTCCAACTGACTACAGATGGACTTTAGAATTTAAACTGTTAAAACAGCAGGAAAGGTAACCAAGGAATTTTGGTGAAAAAAGACCATCTCACAAGAGTATATTGAGCATATAAAAAGCAATGAATTGAATTATGAATTGATTGAACATTCACCAGATTTAGCTCCATCAGACTCTATTCCCAAATCAGAAAAAAATATTTCTTCTTTCGATCAATCAAGAAGCAATTGATGCTGTAGACCAAAGAGGAGCCCGCGCCCCACAGGGGGGGCAAATCGAAAATTGAATTTAACTGTATGACGTATGATATACATATTCACATAAGGGACATAATAATTTTAGAAAAACGTTGGTGGGACATGGCACAAAAAAGATTGGGAACTAATGCTATAGACAGTTATTTTGCAAGCTTAGAAACATGGTATAGAATTGTTAGAAAAACATTGGACTAAATGTATTAAGCTATAATCATTTTTAACCACAAAATTCGTATTTTCTCTTTTGTCTTCAAAACTTTTCACACTATTCTTGTACAAATTCA